CTCATTTAATTGACAGGGGAGCTAAGGTACACAAAGATTATGATTAAAAATATGAGATTTGGGTGCCTAGTTTGAAACTATGGAATTTATTATTTTCAGTTTATGTAACATAAATCTATTAATCTATACCAACCATGGACTAGCCAGCATTTCTGCAAATCAGTTCCTACAGTCAGGCACTCAGACAATGAGGGAATCTCATGTCACTCATTACTGATCATGTATCAACAGTTTGGTTTAAATGAGTTGCCCAGCATCAAACTGACTGAAACTCTGTACCAGGCAGCGAGAACTCAATTTCTCCAGTGAAGCATTCAACTGTTTTCACCAACTGAATGACTGTAACCCCCTGCCTTATTCACTGCAAACCTTCCAACTCCTATAAACACACAGCAGTGGTCCTATGGACAAAAGCTTTTTTCAGTATACAGCAAGCCCATGCTGTGCTCTGAATGAAGCAAGGATTCTGTGAAAAACATACCATGTGAGTTTACAATTAAAGATGGTGTCACAATGCACGTGAACAGGAGGGGCAGATTTTGGCTGAGCATGAAAACTTATTTCAGGAATCTCCTAATTGCCAAGTATTTGACTTTCCAACCTTAATTTTGCTTTTCATGTCATTTTTGTGCAAACTTGTACCTACTTTATATGAAAGATCACAAGCTATAAAAAGTCAAGCCACAGACTATTAATATAGCAGTCAAAGTTGGTACTTAATAAAAGGGAAGATAATGGGGTTGTTCTCTTTAAAATGTCAAGTAGCATGCATTACCCCACACTGGAACAACAGCAGCACTATGCCTTTTTTCCAGGCAAAAGCAACTATTTCCAAAACTCATCAGAGCATGTAAGACGAGACGCTTTCCCCCATGCTGACTAGGAGGTGTGGGGGGGACCTCATCTTATATTTGAGTAAATGCTTGATATTGCAAAAACATCTGCAATTAAAAAGTAATTCAAATTGCTCAGATAAGAATTTGACATATGGGCTGAATACTGGCCATAAGCAATGGACAACTATGAACAGCAGTTTACAGAAGAGAGAGGCATTTCTTTGATCATTTTTAGGATTAGTCTAATTACATTTTAACTATGTGGCAGAGAGAATAAAATGCTGAATTCATGAACTTCAAGATACTAAACTGGAAGCAATGCCGTAGTGACAACAAAACTACATATCTTCACTTTTCCCTATGTGGAAAAAGATCTGGTTTTTTTCCATCCAAAAAGCAAACAGAGGGGAAATAGCAAAGATCAAAATCTCCTATTCTAACGGGCAGTGAGAATCAGATGTTTTGGTACATACTCAGAAAACCATATGAAAAGGTTCTTACATTTTAGAGGGACTGCTTGAAGAATGAGGTACAATTCTACAAAAGGGCATCATAATCTTGCCCAGGGGTTCTACTTATTTAGCTTTTTGGAAATTTGTTTGGAAAAACATAAAGGTCAAAAAGGAAAACATGTATAATTTGTTCAGAAGTAAAGCAAAGTTCAGCCAAATCAATGGCAATGTTCTGATATGCCTACTGCAGATAAGTTTGGTTTGGTTCTAAGTGAGGATGGAGAGTTGACCAAGTGCAATTACAAAGGGCAGTATTTTTAAGTTGTACTCCTTTTCTCTCTTTAAGCTTTACCAAACTACTTTTTCCTTGACACTCGTTTGTCTACATGAAATTTGCATCAAAATTATGCTTCTTAGGTAGCAATACTTCTAGGTGTTTTTCTTTTATGAATTGGAAGTTCGCATTAAATAAAACTTTTGTTCTATGGAGATAAGCAATTAGTAAAAATATTTGCTACTTTCCTCTCTTTTTTCTCCCCTTGACAGTCAAGGTAGCTAGAGCTTGGTTGACAGGGCCAATTAGAGAGACACCAGAACAGTTATCTAAGAACTACCTCCAGTGTAGGACCCACTCCCAGGAGATAGAAAATAATTTTTATTTGTGCTTTTGTTATTCTGCTCAACTATGTTAATATATTGCATTGCTACAACATGTTTACGAGAGAATTCAGACCACCTAATGAATAGTAATGAAGTAGCATCACAACTTCCTTATAAGGCACATGTTCTTATCCCTTTTTTGCAGATGAATGCTCGTACTTTGCTTTGAAACTATAAAACAATGATTTTATGATCTGAACTGCCTCTGAATCTTATGTCTATGATATAAGACCTTACTTCCACTGAAAATAATGGCACTTACCTATGGTAATGCAAAACAAAGTCAGAACTGCAACTCGAGTCAGGATACATTAATTTACATTGCAACTAGAAAGAATCTCAGTTTCATGAAAGAAGGTGAAAAAGTTTGTTTTGTAACAGTTCTGCCTCCATCCACAACATAACTTTTGAATAATGCAGCTAGACACTCATTTAAACATGGTTACTAGAGAGGATGACCCAACACATCAGCAAAATTTGTTGAGCCAGATATTTTCTAATGGGTGCTTTCCAATAAAAATATAGGGACCTTTCCTTCTTCTGAGATGAGCCTAAATGGGATAAAAAACAGTGGTTGGAAGAATGGTGAATGAAGGCAAATATTTACGTCTCATCTGTGACGCTGATGTCCCGGCAAACAATTTTCTACCCTGTAGCTGCTTATAAGGAATCTTTCTATCAAGACTCTGAAAGGCTGCAGTGAACTATTGAGTACAATTATTGTAGCTGGGTTAAACTACTAATTAGGAAATATAATGGGTTCTGATCCCAAAGAGCCACTGATGTGCTAAACAATCCGTAAGATTTTTAACAGAACAGGATACAGAAGGATACCATAAAGCAGAAAAATTGCTCTATTATGGCCACTGAACTGCAAAAGCTTGTTGGCGATATATCTCAAACAGTCTCAATAAAAAAGACTCAAAGCTAACCCAGGGCATTAGAAAACTTTGACAGCATAGAATAAATATAAAACCTATAAAGAGAATATACAGGAACTTGTACTTTAAAAAAATATCTAAAAGTAATTACAAAACCAGAGAAAGGCATCCATAGAAAGAACCCTTGTCTACACAACAGGGATAGTAAGAATATATAAAATAGGTGAACAAAAACTACTCACATGATCAAAATAAAGGTAATTTCATGTACACATGACCTGGAAATTAGTCAGAATTAGCACAAGGCAATAGGGGACACAGATGTAATCCAGCCATCAGGTGAAGCATCTGCCATACTATATGGGGACTCTCTCTAATCACAGTCTCTTAGATTAAAAAAGTGAAATAAAAATATTTTTCCAGTGCATATTGAAGTTGCTAAAGAAACAAAATTATGTCCATGGGTACACTCAATCCTGCACCCTTTCCTATGTTAGATCTAAGTATAGGTATGCAGTAGCTGCAGATGAATAGTCTAATTGAAAAGAAGAAAGGACTTGTAGAGATGAAAAATGTTTATCTTACGATCATAGAACACCTATACACAAGCAGCAAGGCTGCTCCAACGCGCTGTAATTACAGTGCGTTGGAGCAGGCTCAATTAAATCAAGTCTGCTGGAGAGTGGCAATTACTGCGCTCCAGACTCCAACATCTTGTGTCAGCATCCCCAATAAAAATGGCGGTGGGGGTGCTTTAACGAAAGCTTGCGCCGCCATTTTTAAGTGCGGGGATGCTGATACATGGGATGCTCCAGGCGCTTTAAATAGGGGTATATAAACACCCATAGTGTTTAAGAATAATCCATTTTGGAACTCTTTCCAACAGTGCAGTGCTTCACAACAGTGCATTATCTTGCACAGAGTCAGTGATAGGAAATTAATCCTTTTTCTACCATCTTCTTGTAACTGTAGTTCTCACATTCTTAACCTGCGTTGTTGGTTCAATGTACTTTTATGTACTGCGATTACAGAAAAGGAGATCTGAGAATAAGCAGCCTCTTGGAAAGAGTAACTGAACAGCTATATTAACCCAACACAGAAGCAGAGGTCAGTGAGGGAATTTGAAGTGTTTATTGTATTCTCTACTATCCTTGCCTTCTTGACTAGCTGGTAGGTCACTGAATTGCCTGACTTTTCTATCACAGCTGACATAAACTATTCTCTTTCAATAACGGTTATATTTTTTTGTTTATTTTCATAAGCGTTGTTACTGTGAAGTGGGGAAAAAACGTGTCTTTCTTTCTTCTTCCAACCCTGGTACGCAGAAAAAATTCCACGCGGAGTGAAACTGGGTGAAATGACAGACAGGAGGAACACTCATGCCTGCATTCACGTAGCTTTACACTCCAACAGTTTGCTTACCCCACAAGGGGAAGATTACACCTACATAAGGGTCTCTGTGGTAGCAAAGAGCTGTCATTGTGACTCCCAAGCCACAACTGATTTTCTGCAGCGAATGAGAAAGAGAATCAGCTGGGGTACTCCTGTACCTCAGCTACTCCTGCCTTCCACAGCAGCCTTCTGGCATTGTCAGTGACAGCTGTCACAATTAGAGTAGCTCTAATTTGCACCTGGCTTGGCATAATGTAGCCCTATGGTCTGGGAGGCACAAAGCTAGCTAAAAGCCACCTTTGAGTAAAGCTTCTTTTCTGACTTCTGCTGAGCACACAATGGCTAGCCACAAATCAGGGCTGTAATATATAAAACAAAACAAATGGCTCCCCATCTACTTTCTAGAAAAAAAGACAGTGCAATTACTGAAAAATCTGAAATTACTTAATCTATTGCTAACAAAAGTTTGCCTAAATATATCAGTGTGATTTAAATGCTGAAGGCTGTAAATTTCTGTTTAACAAACAGCATTTAGCTGAGATTTCACTCAAAAATAAAATGGGCTAAATTATCATTCTATTTAAAAACAAGACTGCTGAGAAAATGAAGAGTGGCAATTTATTATATTAGTAATTTTCAAATCTCAAAATACAGCAGCATCTTTAAAACCATTCTGAAACTGCTTTTAAGATCATTCACCTTCATCCAGATCATACCATATTCTTGGCTGCAAGAAACTAAACAGCCATTCCTAAGCCTCCTGTATATCCAAGACTTACCTTTGCAGAAGCAGCAATTTCCTGTACTCCCTTGGCAGCAGCATCTCTTATGATTGGTGTAATAAGACCTCGGTCTGTTGCCACAGCAATAGAAATGTCGATGGATTGCAGCTGCCTAGGGCCCTCCCCATCCCAGGTCACGTTCACATCTGGCATTTGCTGAAAAACAGAAACACGAGACATAGCTGTTAAAAGAATAATGGTGCAACCAATTATTAATGAAAAGGAAAGCCCTTTAAAATGCATGGAATTATGTAGGCATTTACCAAAGTAATTAGAATGCTATTTTAGACTGAAGGCAAGAACAGGTCACATCTGTCATCAGGATTGCCATGAGCAAGACAAGGAAAATAATAATACAAGACTTACCCTGAAGGTCTAAGAATAGACTTACTTTATTAGCAAGTATCTATTTAAACTAACTTTGTCAGCAAGTGTGAATTTATGCAGTGGAGACAGAAATTGTGCAGCAAGGGGGCAACCAGAAGGACTTCTGGATGCTTGGTATTGCTAGGAAACTAATGAATATATTAACAGGAGTCTCTAAATCCCCATTTGGTGTTTATATGCATCACTTTGTGGATTCTTAAAATAAGAGTTACAAGTACGATGACTTGCCCCAACTATAAAGAAATGTAAATTGATGCCTTACATTTACATTTTATACTAGAGGACAGCAAACAAAAGAAAATGAAAGCAGATGCAGAGGTAGTATTAGAGACACATGAGCACAGCCACGTTAATTGCTTTTACACTGCATCCCTTGGGCTCAATTCTGATCAAAGAAGGATTTCACAGATATATTCTAAAGGCTGAACTCCATTACTGGTGTAATGTTAACTTTGCAAAAGGATGGAATCAGATTGGAACTAGGAGACCATTTATGGTAAGATTAAAAGGGCTGAATCATATTAACCATAAAAAGCTTAAGGTGGCTCAGGTAGGTGTGGGGGATAAAATGGCTTGTCTTTAGCCTTCACCTCTAGGTCTCCTTTCAAATGCAATAGGGATCAAATATCAATGTGCCTGCTAAGTGATCTGATCAATAGGCCTTGAATCAGGGTGGCCTCCTTGTCAGGTCTTCGCCAGCCACCCTGCTCCTCAGGTAACCACCCACTTCACTCGCCTGCCATGCCTTGATGAAAAAATGACAGTTGTGACTAAGGCAGGAGGCAACCCATTACTCACCCTGCTGACAAGGGCCTAATACCCAGCCCCGGAGGGCAACTCACATACCATCCCTCTCTCGCTGGGGTCCCATTTACACCACTGGCTCTCACCCAGCCCCTTTCATACTGCCCTCTCTCAGGGGTCACGCTCACACCGTCCGGCCTCACCAAGCTTTGGGTTTAGCTCTCCTCTCCTCAGTCAGCACCGGTGCATCTAATGGGTGTTTCCTACTACCCTCACCTGAGCACTGACTGAGTGATTGTACAACTGTAGGCCTATTTTGCTCCTAGCCCCTTGCTGGGCCACTGTGCCCCCACTGGGCCTCTTCACTCACCCACTCACAGGGCTGCTCTGCTCGTCACCCCTCTCACATAGGGTCACTCAGCTTGTCACCCCTCTCGCACACGGCCTGACTCGCACCCCCAGGCTTAACTCTACTGCCTGGGTGCAGCTCCAGGTCCCTCCTCCAACCTAAGCTCTGCCTCAGGGCTCCTTAATGAGCCCTGGGCTTCCCCTGCTTGTTAGAACACCACCAGCGATGTGGGGCTGGGATTATAAGGTGCCCTGACCCACCTTTCACCAGGGAGGTAACTGGCCTGGCATTTCCTGGGGGCTCCCACGCTACTAGGACCCTCACCAGATCACCCCAGCAGGGTGCAGTTTTAAGTCTTACCCAGAACAAGGGATCACCTCCTCCCCAAAGTCCCTGCCATTACCTCCTGACTCCGGCCAGAGCAGCCTCTCAGCCTGATGTTACCTCCTTCCTCCTGCTGCCTGTTTTGTGCCCTTAAAGTGGCAGGCACCAAAGATGCCATACCATAGGCCTGCTAAGTGTCATGTACTACATGAAGTGTTAGGAAGTCTAGTCTCTAGTGTGAAGGTAAGCCATCAAAAAACAAGTACTGGGATAAATACAAGGACCAAACTCTCCTCTGACACCATGTCAGGGTCAAAGTAGGAAGGAAAAGACATTTGCTAACCTGACTTTGCACACCAAGGCTATCAGTCTCATGTAAGTCACCATAAAAAAAAAAGAAAAAAAAGAAGCAGCTGAAAACAGACCTAAAAACAGAGGCAACCCCCACCCCAGCAATGGAAACACATGCACTTACTTAAGTGCATGTATACCTTTGATAGCAAGGGCAGATGATTATTTTGGCTGGGGAGGTGCTTAACAAGCTTTGGCGAGCTGTTGAGGGCTGTATGAGTAGCCTCACCCCTTGACAGGTACCCTGCCCCCTCGTCTCCATCTAAGGCTAGAAGCCCTGCCCCCTAACCCCTGACCTTTGCCACCAGAAGCTCCTCCCCTTGCCCCCAGAAGCACTCTCATTGGCAACGGGGTTGCTATCTTGGAACCAGAAAAAAACCAAATTATATTCTAAAAATCAAACATCTGCTACAACTTACATTTATTTGATTTTAAAAAATATTGTTATCCTGATTTACATGCATTCATGTAGTCTACATAGAAATGACTGCGTAATAGCTTAAAATGAAGTCTTACTTTTGTATATTGTAGGGGGTGTGGGGGTATGGGTGGGTGGGTATGGGGTTTGTGGAGGGCTGTGGGTGTGTGTGTGAGTATTTGTGTATGTGAGGTGTGGGGGAGGGTGTGGGTGTGTGGGGGGGTGGATAGGTGAGGGTGGGTGTGTATGTTGGGTTGGGGAGCATGTGGGTGTGTGTATGGATGGATGGATGGATGGATGGATGGATATGTGGGGTGTCCATAGAGCCCCTTTCAGCCCAGGCTCCGTGCTCCTACCACCCTGCCCTGGGCCACCTGCTGGTCCTGGCCCCATGGCACCCACCCGCCACCACTTCCCCCACCTGCTATCCGTTCCCCCCTACACTTTCATCTGCTGCTCTGGCACCACACGGTTCCTGGCTGGCTCCTGCTGCACCATACAGTCCTGCCAATGCAGCCAGGAACTGTGTGGTGCCAGAGTCAGCCTGGCCTGGCTGGTACCACATGTAGCCAGCCGGGAATTGTGGGGGTTGGGCCGGCTCCTGCTGCACCAGCAGGGAGAGGGGCAGAGCCAGCCTGGCTCCATAGAGCCCCTGGCAGCCCAGGCTCCGTGCTCCTGCCACCCTGCCCTGAGCCGCCACTGGCATAGGCCCTGCACTCCTGCCCTGCGCTCCAGCCCAGCTGTCACTGTGCTCCTGCCCACTGCTGCCATTGACATTTCCCCACCTTCTCACTGCTTCTCCCATTCTCACTGCCCAACTGCTGGCCAGCCATGCACAATTCCCAGCTGCAGGGTCCTGGACCAAAGAACACAGCAGGAGTTGACACAGCCCCTGTGGACTGGGGCAATCGCTGATGGTCCTCTTCTCCCCCCTGTTTTTATCTGACTGCACTCTCAGGCAGAGGGTGGCGGGGAACAGCCCCAGGGTCGCCAGGCCAAAAGCCTTTGCTAGGCAGAGGTTTCCGGTTGGGCCTTGCTGCTGCTGCCCCTGGGGGTCCTGCCACCAGCTTATCCTGGGTCCTACTGCCACTGGTACCTCATTAGCTTAGACAGGCAGCCACAGAGAAATAATAGTTAATTTTATAAAAAACTTTTAGGGGCCCTGCAGGCTGGATAGAATGGCCTGGTGGGCCAAATCCAGCCTGTGAGCCATATTTTGCCCACCCCTGTTTTATAGGTACCTCCTTTTTCCACAAAAAGGAAGCACTACAGTCTGCTAATATGGGGCATTTAATTCACACAGCACCAATCTATTCCAAACTAGATGTTTCAAGCTGAACTTTAGAAATGAAAGAAGTATGTTTGACTGCATGTGTTTTAAACGCAAGGCAGAAAAGACCTGGAGTGAGTGGATGGTCATCTAGTAAAAGGAGTAGGCTAAGATCCAGGCTTGAGAGTCTCATGGAAACAAGTTTAAAGGTTCATAAAAACATGGAAAGAAATTTGCAAACAAAGAGTTTCATCAGAGAGGATGGTAGAAATGTCTAAGCAACAGCTTTCCAATGAGTAAACTCCAGCAAGATTAGAGTAGCTCCTTTTTTGAGTTAAAGGGATTTTGTTCCTCTCTCTCTCAAAAACGCAGGTTTGGTACAATATCCTTATGCCACAGGCACTCCCCTTGTTCAGCAAAGCACATATGATCTCTTTGCTACCCTCTACCCTAGGCAACACTGTTTTAGAAGGTGTTCTGTACATAGATGGAACAGGTCTCTGCTTTGGGTTCTCTGAGGATAAAACACCTTGAGAAACTTCAAATAATATCATGAAGCAGATAGTTCTATTTTCCATTTCCATTTTACTCCTGGAGGGGTTTTACCAAAAGAGACTGCTAAGCTTATGGTGCTCTGGTTTATTACCTTGTTTTCACAGTGGAGAGCTCACAATGAAGCCCTGAAATTAAAATCTAGAGAGAATATTGCAAAAAAACAAAACAACAAAAAAAAACAAACGAAAAAAAAAAGAAATCTGAAGAATGGGAAGAAAAAAAAGAGAGGAGAAAATAGGAGAAAGTAAGGAGTCAATTTAGTTAACAATACTGGAAAAATGAAGCTCAGGATTTTAAAGATTCTTGATTTTTCTCTATACTAAAGTTGGGCATATGGACATGGGTCCTCTGGATACAGAGCTTTCCACATGAGGCTCAAGAAAACTACAGTCATTAAGATGTTTAGACAGAGTAAATGAGTTGAACAAAAGGTTAAATGAAGTGGAAATCCCAAAAGAGTAAGTTTTAATTTCTGTAACAAAAAATGTAAGGAAATATAGCGTTTCCTCAGGAGGAAAATACTTGCAACAATAGGAATGCATTATTCTTTGGAATAGATGCCCAGAAAATATATGCCATTAGATATTAAATTGAACTCTAGTTTGCCAAATGATATATTAAAGGTGAACAAAGAATGAATGTGATAATAGTCTCTCAGATTAAGATACATATACAGAACATCAATACACACATATATACACATATGTGCGCATACATGTACACACCCCCATATGTATACCCATGCACACACATGTATA